ACAATTAATATATGAGAAGAGAGAGGCTACAGTTTAGGAAGTTTCTTTTCTTTCCCAGCTTATAACAAAGAGAACCTGAAGTTTAACCTGGTATTTGCAATGCTCTGATTACTCAGCAGCATTCCATTTTGTGAAATCATTACCACGAAAATGTATCCAAATCTTGAGTTACAGACTGTTCTTGCAGCTGACTGGAAGAGGCATAGAAGTTGTTTGTAAGGTATTGCGGATCCCAGGCAGCACAAATGAAGGTGGAGACTTGGGGGAGGGTTTGAGTCAGGGAAGGGAAGCTTCCTAGACATTACAGCTCTGTCCAGAGGCCAAATGGGAGATAAATCACTGCTGGCCACCTCTCTTATTATTGAAATAGTTCAGCCCTTGGGTTTAACCGAAGGACTAACAGGGTTTTGAAGTGCAAATAGGATGGTGAAGGGTAAACCCTTTTAGGGTTTCATCTTGATGGATTTTTTTCCTGTGTGGATTTCTGGCACTGACTGTGATCTGGAAGGGGCCCTTAAAAAGGAAAACTTTTGTTTTGTTTTTGATCAATCAGGCAATACGAACTTTCCACAGGGGTGTACTTTTCCTGCATGCATATTGATCCTACTGTGCTTAAAAGTAGGTTATTTAATCAGGTCTTTTTTTGAGCCTTCTGCAATGGAACTGTCATTTCAAGGTCACATCGCTCTCTTGGTATTAATGCCAAAGTTTGAGAGTGTTGAACAATTGGTACTTTTGGATAAATAGTGTGGGGGGATTATTTAAGGCCAGTGTGTGTTAAAGTATTCTAGTTAAAGATCGAGTCCATATTAGAATAAGTCTCTTATGTAATGATAAGCATTCTATATTTATTTAATCTTTTTCCGTTGAGTTATAATTGTACATATTCATTTAATTATTTTTGTATGCATTCTGTTTTGCCAGCCTTAAAAAAAACTCCAAATTTTGAGTTTGTAAAATATTGTACTATGTTATTTGTAGTGATACACTGAAGTGTTTGAGGAAATAAAGGACACATAATAATGTTTAAATAAATGATATGCTGATTTTATCAAGCTGAAAATTCCGTCCCCCCTGCAAATAATTCAAACACAGGAGATAAAATATCTTTTAAAATTTTTTTATTTATTTGGAAAATGGGGATGAGAGGAATCATTAGTGACTCCAAAGAGAAATGCTTGTAGCGTATCTTAAAGGCTTTGTGTGCAAAATATTTAAAGAAAAATAAAAATACTTTTACTGAAGAAATGCCATTGTGAATGCTTATGTCTTCTTCGAAATATTGTTGATGGAACTTTTCTTGAGCATTTTGGCTCTTTACTTTAGATGTAACATGAATATTTGTATCATTTACCCTTTTTGAGAATGATAATGTATTTAGTGGCAATGGAGGCTTTCCTTTGTGTTGCTTGATAACTATTATGAAAATGGTTGTTAATCTCCATAACTGACATTGATCACACAGTGTTCTTAATTGACCTCCAGGTCGGTTTTTGTTTTTATGGTCCTCAAAATTTTCCCTTCACTGTATGTATGTAAATGTCAGAAGTATATTTACTTCCTATTGCTGTATGATGATTTTAAATAAGATGCTTTAAACAACAACAAAGAAAACCAAAAACGCAGGATGGCATCAGACAGAGTCCCCTGCATCTACAGCTTCCCTTGTCATTAGTTTGTTGCAGGGAGATGTTAATATGACCTTTCCTTTGTTAGAAAAGAAATCTGTAGCCCTTCCCAGAATCCTCTTGTTAACTGTCTTTTTAACCTAAGCTGGAGGTTGTCTGACACATGAATGGTGAGCTTTTTTTATGAGCTACACATATTGTGGACATTGTGTCACACATTGCTTTCTCATTTCTAATATGTTTTTAATTTGCAAAGCATGCATGTGTCTTCCACAGCAGTAGAATTGAGTCAGCATTTCCGAGTCCAGATATTGCTTTATGCACACAAGAAGGGTCAGGCTTAAGAATGCTGCATCATGGCCTTAGATTTCCTCAAACACACATGTGAATGAATTTCACTTTGAATGTTATTGAATAAAAGAAGACACTTGAGAAAGGTTTTTTCCCCAAGAACTTCTCTTGCCTCTTGGCAAGTGAATTGTCAGGCTTAAGAATGCTGCATCGTGGCCTTAGATTTCCTGAAACACACATGTGAACAAATTTCACTTTGAATATTATTGAATAAAAGAAGACACTTGAGAAAGGCTTTTTTCCCCAAGAACTTCTCTTGCCTCTTGGCAAGTGAATTGCCCCAATATAAAAGCATCGGGAGGGGGGAAAGTGAGTTACAGAGTGAAAGGCAATCCGCAAATAATCACTCTTTTCTGCCTTTGATTGTGTCAGATTTTTTTGTGTGTGTGGCAATTGTTTTCTTTTTTCGCTTAGAAGAGGTTTATGGTCCAATGTCTGTCAAGTCAGCCCCTGTCTTGAGGTTGCAGTTGTATTTCTCTCTGGAGTTCCTGGAGGTGATGTTATCTTTTGTTCACTCAGCAGTGTGGTCGTTCCTGAGAGCATCTGTCACTTTAGGCATTACAAGATGGATGGGTCTCCAGTGAACTGCTGGTTGAAGCAAATGGTGAAAATAAGAAAAGACAAGGGGTTTCAGGGTCTGCAGAGGGGACAGACAACAAGGAAACACTGTTAGAAATCAAGAGCAAGCTGATCAGTAGAGGAAGAGACAGCAGAGATGGATCAGATGTCATTTCATAAACATCTTGGAAATCAGAATCTTTTGGTGGCTATCGTGGTGTGAGGGAGACATCTGCATCATGGTAAACAATTATGTGCTTTGGGTTTGCAAAATGTGTTTGGACAATTTTTTTTTTTTTTAATCTGGGAGACATGTTAAGAATAACAATAAATAACATAGAATGTTTTACGTGAGGATTTTACTGTTTGGAGAATTAGTAGTCTTTTATAAAGATTAAAAATCTAACATTAAAATTTTTCTGTCTTGTTTTCTCTTTTTTTGTTCCTTGCTCTTTTTTTTTCTTCCTTTTTTATAAGCAACTGAGCAATCATAGATATTAAAATGTTTGAAAAGTTTGGACCACATAGCTAACATCTTTATTGAATGCTTTTCAGCATTTTTGCAGGGGGATCCTGAAAATTCTATGCTCGTGCTTTAGGGAGGCTGGGGGCAGATTTTATGTTATTTTAAGTAACCTCTAAATTTAATGGGCTTATTCATCAAGGAAAGAAATATAATTGTTATTGATCTGTCAGAATGAGGTGGAGATTTGTATTGTGGGTAGAAACTTATTTTGTTGGTGAAGGTCAAAATTTGAAAATCCTGGCTGATATAAAGTCCCTCCTGTGCAGACAAGGAACAGGAAGGAGCTGGGCTAAGGAGTAAGAAAGGGGAAGGGGAGGGAAGTGATGTGATTGAAAAAAATGATTTTGTCAAACTTTTTGGCATTCTTCTATGAAAAAGACCATAGGTTGAAAGGCAAAGAAATTAAGATGATTAGCTTTAAGCTATGCAAATGGTAGAGTATCTTCCTTCTCTATGGGTGTAAATAATAGATGAAAGGGTAAGAGTGACAACAAAGGATCAGGTCGTTTAAGAGAATGTGTGCAGCCTGAATAGGGGTCTGTGGCCCAGGGCCAAAGGTCTTAGCTTTGAGTGTAATTAGAAGAAAATACAAAAATGTCATTACTAGCAGGTGAAGTGTGCAGCACGTGGCCAAAAATTGGCAATTTTAGACTCTGAAGCTATTGGAATTGGATTACTGACCTTTTTTAGAAACCATTAAGGTCCTTGTGGAGTCATATAGTTTCATTGGCAGTAATGCAGTTTGACCTTGTTGACCATATGGGGTAATCTTGGGTCTGGATATAGGTAGCAAGCCTCCTAACTTAGAAAAAGATGTCTATTTGTGTGTGGGTGGGTGAGAAATATGTGAGTTTGAAAATCTGGGTCTTGCATTTTTGATTATTCTTTTGCCTGAAGACATTCTTCTGACATAAGAGGTAAGATAAATATTTTTATTTTAAAATCTAAAATGGTTCTTTTCTCTCCTTCAAGTCGGCATAACAGGAAAGTAAAATGAAAACCACTTTTTCAGAAAACATAAGTTAATATTATTTCAAATATTTTAGTGCTATAAATATTCATATTGAAATTAGTGCATTCTTAGAAAAATTCTCTCTTTAGACACAGTGACAAAGGACTAGAAATAGTTGTGAGTTATGTCTAAAAATCAGTGACAAATAGTTTTTATTTTACCTTATGCTTTTCGTATTTCCTATTTTTCCATGTCATAGTTTATATTGACCATAATCTACTTAGAGGAGAGAGTAATATACACTATAATTTTCAATCAATTATATGTAATTATAATTATTTAGTTTAATATCTTCTAGGAATACACTACTCAAAAGGGTAGGAAAAAGTAGCTTTTTTTCTTCTTGCAAGCTTTCCTCTTGGAAATTATTGAAGCATTAATTTCAAAAAGTAGAAAAATAATTTTAAGTAATATTAGTTATGTTTTACATTTTTGATAGTTCTTTGAATAGATAAATTTTGGCCAGGTATCAGGGATAATAAAACTTTTAAATTTTGAGAGTAAGAAAATTACCTTATACTAATTATATTCCTAAAAATAAAAATAGTCTATTATGGTAATACCTGTCAAAAATGCAGATTTGACAGACTTATTCAACTTACATTTAGTGGGGGGAAATCTTAAGAACAACAGAAATTATTTTAGAGTGTATATAATAACTAGAAGTGATTGTTTTGGGAGTATTTAGGAAGGAAGAGTATCTGTATATTTGCCAATTATGATGTATATAGAGTTGTCTTAAACTTTGATAATGAATTTCTAATTGTGATTTTTCAAGAATTGTGAATATTTAGGTTATTGTATTATAGAATATAATACACTTGGAAATTAACTCATGACTTCATGTATATATTTTGATTTTTTATGTTTTTGCAGGTGCAAAAAAGCTCTAAACAAGTTAAAATCTAGGCAACAGGCTCCCTGAAGTGTTGACTGCCCAACTTAATCATGAACGTGATTCAAAAATGTTAATAAATAAACTAAGGTATTGTACAATTATATATGCCCCCCCCCAAATTTTTCAAGATCAAATTTGTTTTAGGAAGTTGCATTTAGAATTTAATTAAAGCTTCTATATTTGGTCCTTAAACTGATTAAGCAGATACTTCTGTGAACTCCTCTCCTTCCTTTTCCTCACCTCTCTGCTTTCTTCTCCCCTCCCCCATCCTCTCTATCCACCCCCCCAAAAAAACTAATTCAGTAATTAAGTTTTTTCCCTACAATAGCCTCCATATTTCCTAAATTAAGAAAATAAGAATTCAGTTTTTGATTCCCCTTTATTGATTGCGATTTTTATCTTCCAAATAATCTAATAAGAGAGACTTCTAGATCTTTGGCTTCTGTGGAAAAACCCAAACCATATCCAGTGACCACATATATTTAAAATTTGTCTCGTATAACACTATGCTGAGATGTATGATATAAAAGTTATATAAAAGTTTTTTCTGGGCTGGCCCGGTGGCGCACTGGAGAGTGCACCGCTTGGGAGTGCGGCGGCGCTCCTGCCGAGGGTTCGGATCCCATGTGGAGACCAGTTCCCGCTCACTGGCTGAGCATGGTGCGGGTGCAACACTGGGGGTTGCGGTCCCGTTGCCGGTCCCCGGTGCGGGCGCGACGCCAAGGGTTGCGATCCCGTTACTGGTCAGTAAAAAAGACAAAAAGGAAAAAAAAAAGTTTTTTCTATTTTTAGAAGGCTTTTAATTTAGAAAAGGAACAAGGTGATACTGATACTGCCTTTTTTTTTTTTTTTCTTTCTATGTCAAAGAAAATGAAAAGCTTGCTGAGAATTGAGAATTTAGGGCTACTGTTTTAGGTAACTCTTGTCTATCAGAAGGGACATAACCCAAGACTGTCTCTCCTTTTGGAAATTACAATGTGCTTAAATAGCCTGGCATTTCCAAAGGAAGCCAAACATCTTTTCCTCTTTTATGACCCGTTGTATCCTTTTGAGGCCAAAAAGAACAAGAGGGTCATTGCCACTTGAGCCTGGTCCCTGTTTGTTCCTTCGTGGTGACCACGCAGATACTGAAACCCAGTATTGGCTTAACATTTGGGCCTGGAACATCTGGAAAATGGTCAGAGAGAGAGCAGAGGAGGCAGAAGAAAGAGAGAGAACTGTTGCATTTTGTTTCACCAGGTGCTAGGAGGAAGCAACATTAGCCGTTTTGATATGGGAGGCAAATTCTGTGGGCTCTGGAGTTAGGCTTCAACAATTGAAGAGGTCAAAGGACAGCTGAGTGGGGTCAGTGAGACACCATGGGGTGTATTTTGTTACTTAGTAAAAGGAGCAGCCTCCTAAAACCTTAAAGGATTCTCTTGAAAATCTGTGTTGTGAAAAGGTTTTATGAGTCTCATGGCAAAAACGCCTGATTTATCTAAGGAATGCTTGCTTTTGTCTAATGGAAAGATAATCCTTACCAAATGTTGGCAACTACTATAAGGGTCAATATAAGTCTGAAAGAACAGTTAGGATTGGAAGTGTACCTTGCTTTCCAAAATGTTTATCATTTTAATGTTTCTCAGTGGAGAATTTTGCAATGCTGAAATGCCACCTTTTTCTTTCCTTGGAGCAGAAAGTGGAGGTGGAGAGAGGGGGAGGGGTAAGGAGTGAGCCTACATTAATTTAAAAATTGTTCTGCAAGCTTTTGACCTTACCCACAAACAGGATATTATTATTCAATCTTTAAACACACCCAAACTTGTTAAATCTAAAAAGTTATCTTTGAATTTATTTGAACTTATAGAGAACAAATGGTACATCAAGTATAATGTTTCCGGATTACAGATTTCTTAAGGTGTTGATAGTTGATAGAAGGGGGGGTATCAGTTGACAAATAACCTTAAACCTTGTGTTTGTCCCTGAATGTGTTTCTTGTATGTTTTGTAGTAGTAAGAAGAAAATCAATGTCAGAGTCAAGAATAGAGAATAAGAAAAGCAAAATAAAGGGAATTTTCTCTTTGAAGAGAATGGAGAAGGGGAAAAAATATCAGCATGTTGTAAAGGCACTCTTTACCAGAGCCCATGACCTCAAGATCACTTCTGTGATTGTGGATACCTTTGAGAGGTATTAGCCACCTGGCCGATAGGTAGTGAAAGGGGACTGCTAGAGGAATTTGGCAGTATTTTGATAATCCAGTTTATACACTATATACATATATATAGAAAGAAAGCATATATTACAACATGTATAGTAAGGAAAAAGATGAGGAGTATATCATAGGCTTTGCTAAGCATATTTTTACTAATATATAAATTTACAATATTTATTAATTACTTGCGTATGTGATTTTTTTAATCCTTTTAAATAACTACTCGTGTTAAAGGAACATTTAAACAAATGGAGGCTTAGCATGCAGTGTGCTCTCTTTCTATTTTCTCAGGGTTAAAGTGCCTTTCAACAACTAATTTAGAAACCTAAGTGTAGTGACTGATAATTACCCAGAGAAAACCCACAGCTGCTTAAGTAGCATTGAAATTGTGGTAAAACTGACAAATACAATCAGCAACATTAATAAGATAAGAAAATAGAAAGACAGGAGTGAATGACAGAGTGGAAAGATGAAGGTAGCCAGAGTAACAAATCCATATAAGAACAGGAATATTCATAGTTGATTTGAATTTCCAGGCTTTTTCTTTCAAGCTTAGTCTCCCTCTTTTACTACTCTCTGAATTACCTGCAGAATGTGTGTTTTGCAAGTTAAATAAATCAGATACATTTGTTCAGCCTCTAACTCACCTCTGATTTTGGAAGAAGACAGCTGTTTGGCAGTAGTATCTAAGAAAAACAACCAAACTTTGCTGATTCTAAGGCACAATTTGATTTTCAGTGCTTTTTAAAAGTCAATTTTAAATGTATTTCTATTTTACTGTAAATACTGTGAGTTGGGATTTCTTTCCTTTGCACCCCAATAATTCTTAGTCATCCAGATACATTACAAAGGAGACCCTGTTTCTGCATTTAGTGACCTACCATTACCCAAAACAAAACAAAACAAAAAAGTTTGCAGAAGTCTTTAATGTATTATTACTAATTACATTTATCTGGTTAAGGTTTGTAGCCCACTTTCCAAACAACTTCTTAAGAAAATTAATTGGGGGTGGGTGAATAATAGAAATTAGTTGAGCATTATGCAAAAAATATTTAGTTATTTGTGCCTTTCCCACTATGCTTTTGAAAGCATTAGATGAAATCTGGAAAAGCATTGTGGTGTCTTTTGAAGTTCTACTCTCCATTTGGGAAATTGGCTTTAGCTACTGGTGTTTTATGCAGATTTTAATGATTATTGTGACAAATCCCCAGAAGTTTGTTCTCTGAAACCACAGAGACTCTGAACTGTGAGTGTGGCAGACTTGATGGATGTGGTAAGCCACACTTTGGAAGCATTTCTCATTATATAATGTTTTCTGTTCTGGATTATTGACTGTTCTCCCTGTTGAAAAATTGGTCTCTGGTGACATGGTAGAGGTCACACGTTGCCTATTATTGTTTTGCTTCTTTGATCTTACACAGGGATTGCCTCTGGTAATTACACTAGTTCCAGAGAGCCTTGACAAGATGTGTTTATTTTGCAGAAGAATTTCTGGCATTTCAAGGAAGAAAGTAAAGATTTCCAGTAGTAATGTGTAACTCTGTGTTACAAAGGGAAAAAAAGTATTGTACTTTATCTTGTGATTATGATAATTTTTAAAAATCATTTTTAAATTAGTTGGCATATCACAGTAATTATTCCTATAACAATTTAAGAAATAGTGCCCATCTGTAAGTATATTGCTAAAAATGGTAAATTTTAGAATTAAGTTATTAGGGCTGGATTTTTCTTTCAGTATCTGAAACACTTGGGTTCAGAAACTGTCAAAAGAGATTTATCCAAATTTAAATGTACAGAACTATTAAAAGAGGTTGAAAATCTGTCTTTTAATCTGTTTGCATTGCTAAAAATTTTCAGCAAGGAAGGTGAACAAAAATGAAATAAAACACTTTTGTATGGAATGCATGGTTAGCTTTGTGCTTTTTTGGAATGTGATTGGGAAGAGATAATATCTCTTCACACCTGTTTAATGTATAATTGGATAAGACACACAAAGGTCAATCTATTCATTTTTTACTCAATTTCAATTTTAAACAAAATATTTGCCCCCCAAAACCTAGAATCTATTGGGGGAGTTAGACAAATAATACACCCAAATAACTATAATTAAGAGTGACAAATGTCAATTTAAAGGAATAAATGAACTGCTAAAAGAGCACAAAGAAGAGGAAACCGTGAGGTATATATATATACCCCCATCTCCTTCTCCACTAACTTGCTGTTAAAATCAGTTGACCCCAACGTAGTAGTATCTTAGATACAGTTCTTTTTCTTTTAGCATGATTACATGGTTTGGTAATGTTTTCCTTTTCTTTCTTGTCACTGTGATAATTCTTTTTAAATACTTTTCAAGTGGATATTTTACTTTCCATGCTGTGGAAGACCTCTCTTAATCTTCATTTTTGGTCCTTGTTGCTAAAAAGAGCTATTATTGAAAAGATCATAATGCTTCAGCTCAGAAGAAAGGAAGAGCTAAGTAATCAAGAAAATGCCTCCTCTTGAAAAGGATATAGTGCTGGAAATAGAGCTATAGAAGCTATAGAAAGGTTTAAGAATCATTTAATACAAGGGGTTAATAACCCATCCACAGTGATAGAGAAGCCATGGGCAGAGAGCTCAAAAAGTATTAGGGAGCTGAGTTAGTTAATAGAAAGTTACAAGCCAGATTGTTTACCAAATCAAATTACTGAAGTAAAAAGCAAAACAAGAGAAACTCTCATAGAATGTGGAGAAAAAGAGAAAAGAAATCAAGATAAGAAAAGAGAGAAAAAGAGAGACCTAGAGGGCTGATCCAGGAGATACAATCTGCGCATAACAGGAATACCTGAAACAGGACAAAAAGCAAATGGAGCTGAAACAGTAATTAAGGAACTAGTTGACGAAAATATTCCAGAG